CAGCCCAGCTCCAGGTTGAGCTGTTGTTCAGCATCTTAGCTGTGGAGGGCAGTGTCACTGGCCCTCATATGTGGGATCCGAACCGGGGCCCTCTGGCGTCTCAAGCCAGTTCTTAACCATGGCGCCACTCGGCCGGCCCGGGTTGTCACTTTGAGGGGTAAAAAGTATAACTATTGCACTGTGTTGTACAGCTGAAACTAATTTTAAAAATGTTTATTTCACAATAAGAAAAATAAAGTAATTGTTGACAGATAAAAAAATCCTTCCCATATTAAACACACACACACACTCACACACACACTCACTCACTCACTCACATACTAATTTCCCCAACATTTACTGCTGTATCACTGTTTTCTTTTGCAAACGAGCTTTTTCACATTACAGTTTTAACTCTTTCGCCCACCCTTCTATCTCTACCACTTTGGCACTTGTCATTTAATTCCTAAAGCCTAGCACAGTTTTGGCACTTAAGAGACTCTCTGTAAATTGTTCTTAAATGGATAAACAAGTTACTCTAAATGCCCCCTGGACGCTTTTCAGAACTTAACCTGCACACCTCACCTTTCAGCAGCATGGTAACTGCTAATTATTTCCTCCCTCTTGAAACTGTTCTTTCCTAGGAGGAAACATCCTAGACAAAAGTCATAATAAAAGCCATAGAGTTCTTAAATCTAGCTCTGCCACTCATTAGCCCTGTCATAACCGCCGGAGAGTTATGACTCTCAGTTTCCTCATTTGCATATAGCACGTGCTCCCAATACAAAGTTTGGCACAAAGTAGGTGCTCAATAAGTGGCAGCCACCACTTATTCGAAGGCTTACCTCCCCTCTCTTTCTGGTCATATTATCTTAATCTACTTCCAGGCTTCTCTTCCCCTTTACTTGGCCAATTCCTACTCATCCTTCAAGGCTCAAATCAGATGTGATCTACTCCTGGAAGCATCTGTCAACATTTCAAACTTTGGGGGAAACGACCCTTCTATGCATTCCTACAACCACCTCTCCTTGTCTCTACCACAGACCCTATCACAATGCATTGTAATCTTTGACCTGTTTCCCCACCACTCCCTAAGCAAACTGCAGAATGGACACTTCTCAAAGACTATGTATGTATACAACTATCATCTCCGGATCTCCAATCCACAAAACAGCTTGTATATGGCAGACACACACAAAAGTTTTAGGAATGAATGAATGGCCCAATGTTTGCCTTGTAGGTCACGTTAGATGGTGATTTTTAATTTACCTTCAAACATTAATGTTTATGCCCATAAAGAGCAGGTGCTATCCATCAGGTGAGCCTGGCGAGTGAGTCAGGGGATAGTGGAAGACTTTCAAAAAGTGGAAACCTTTGAAGACCAAATGACTAAAAGCAGATTTAAAGTTGCAAGTATGGAGAACGGAGGCAGCTTTGTTTTAGGCTTTTTGCATCTGAGACGTTACTGTGGCCCATTACTCCCATGGATCAGTGAAGAAGACCAGGAACCAAGAGGCACTGAACAAAAGCACTTACCTCACAGTAACCTAAAAAAGCGCTGGAGGGTTTGCAGTTTATTTCAAGGCCAAACAAGAGGTTATGGTTTGGTTTACTATGTTTTGGAAAGTGCTGCACATACCTACTTCACAGGTACCAATATTCCAACACAAATCTAAAATAATTTAAAAGTTGAACAAATGAATTCTGGATGACCCCTAAATTAAATTATCAAAGCCACTATTCCCTTAGCAACTGACAATATTTGTAAGCAATAAAAACTCATGAGTAAGCACTAGTATTCTTGCAAGAAACAGTTCACACGTTGCACTTAGAGAAGAATCTATCATCGTCTGTGTCTCATTTCATAACTAATTACTTTTTCATCGCTCAGGAAACAGAAACACTGTCACCAAAAGGAGGGGTGAAAATTATTTCACTGAATTCAATGCAGAATGTGCCTATAAATAGACAATTTCTGACATTTAAAAAAAAACTTACAAAAATACAGAAAACTTAGTATTTACATTAGGAGTGAATTAAATGTTTAAATAAATGTTGTTTATATTTAAAATCAAAATTTTACTGGAAATCATATAGGGCATAACTCATAAAAAGCCCATGTAATTGGCACAACTAAATCATCTAAAATAGTAGCAATCCATCTTTTGGTAGCATATCATTTGATGGTAACTGTTCTTTTTCCAGAACTTTTACTAATGACTCTTTGAAATATGGCTTAGTATGATTTTGCTATAACAGTAAGATATTTTCAAGATTTTCCTGCCAGGGGACATCATAAACTACAAGACTTCAATGAAGTCATTTATTACCAGAATTCATAACAAGAGCTACAGGCGTAATGGAAGAGGGGGACAGATACCAGTTTTTGTTTTGGTTTGGTTTCAAATGCCAACCAAAGGATTATTTCCCAGGCTCTTTGGTTCACCCTCAGCATCAACAATGATACCAAACATATCTGGAATAACATGAGCAATTCCATCTGATGTACATCCTTACAGTGTTTTCAAAAGACTTGCAAATCAGAAATAACCTTTCTGGGGTAAAGCTGTCATAAGTTTAAAGCATACTTTAATTTTTTATAGACGGTACATATTTGTTCACTATATAGCATATATAGTACGGTACCATAACCCGTAATAAAAACCTACCCAGTAACAAAGATCGGCCACAGAGTCACTGGGAGTTAGAGGGAGAGAAGAGGGATTGCCAGTCAGGAGCTTGATAATAAGTGCTACTTTCTCCCAGAAGCTATTTTGGAAATAGTTACCCGTGGAGTTAAGTATCACAGGCAACCAGAAGTAGAGTCTATTCTAGGACAACTCTGGAGATCCAGTAAGACCGACTTAACGCTAATTCGCTTATTCATTCACTCACTGATCATACACATCCACTTAACAAATATTTATTGAGTATTTAATTACATACCATATACCAGGAGCTACAATTAAAGATAAATAACCACACAGACAGGAACACAAACAGGCAAACTCCAATGTTTCAGGTGCTGTGACACAAGGATACACAGGGTTCAAAATTCAATTCCATTCTGCCTGGGGAAGTAGAGGGTGATTAGAAAAGGTTTCATAAAAAGAGATGCTTGAGATGCCTTTGGAAAAGTAAATAGAGGTTCCCTAGGTGAATGTGGAAGACATCTAGGAGAGAATAAGATAAATCTTGACACTTTCTGAATTGCAAACATTTTTGCATGGCTACAGTTTAAATTGCTGGGCAGGAAAAAGGCGAAGGGTGTGTGTGTGTGTGTGTGTGTGTGTGTGTGTGTGTATCTATTACATATATTATATAATATATAACATATATT